TTTACACTATGGTTAAAAATAGATTTCTTCAAAACCATGATGCTTTCCAAGCAAAGTATTTCAGTTAAATCTATTTTTCCATTTAAGTATCCTTAATCTAGTAATACTAAGGCTATCATTTTCAAGTAGCAAAGAGTTTTACGTTCTACTAAAACTTATCTACATTTTTTTAGATCTAGTTATCAAAATAATGGAACTCAAGGTTTTGATGTTTTCAATTTAAACTTTTTTGGTCTTTTTTAAGGTAAATCTATTTATCAGATAAATTGTAAGTTAAAAATCTGTTTTTTTCAAAAGCAGATTGCTTTCAATCTATTTAAATATTTTTTTCATTTATCAGAAGAATTGCTAGTTAAATCTTTTTTTTTTGTCAACTAGTTAAATCTTTTTAATTCTTAAGATTTTCATTTAAATCTCATATCAATTAAACCATGATACTTTAATCTCATATCAGGTATTTCTTAAGTAAAAATAAAAAGATCTTATGTCTAAAAGTTGGTGGTATTCCTATTCTTTGGGCGACTGGTGCAGCAATAACGTCAGCATTTATTCCATTCCAAGAATATCTTTGGATCGTATATCTCTCACTCTGAAAAGGTAATCTATCTATATAATGGGAGAGTTATCTCTCCATCTAGGATGTCCACATCATCATCCAAGTCATCATATTTTAATTTTGTGTGGGTTCCACATATTTTATTTATTAAAACAAAAAACATCAAACTATAATTAATTAACATATTTTGTAATTTATCTTATAATATTATATTTCATTAAACAAAAACAATAATTTACAAAAATAAATTAAATATTAAAACAAGAAAAATAAATTTATAACACAAAATCTGAAATTTTGAATATAGATTGGATAAATATAAAATTAGATAATTATATCTTAACATTTAATGAGTAAATATTTCTAAATGATTAGAGATATGAAAAAAGAAAATTAACATATAATCATTTTTAAGAGTTACAATTATTTACTAGAATAAAGAAAAATAAGAAACATTAGCATCCATGTAATCATATTTTACATTTTGTAGGCTCCATATCTTATTTTGAAACAAACAAATTAAAAATAAAATTAATTCACACATTTTATATTATTATGTTTACCTAAAGAAAAACAGTAGTTTATAAAAAAAAACAATTTAATACTATAACAAAGGTGAAAAATATACAATACAAAATATGAAAAATTTATATAGTGAAATAAATATAAAATTAGTTAATTATATCTTAACATATAATGAGTAAATATTTTTTAAATGGTTAGACATAGGAAAAATTAAACTTATCATATATTTTAATGGTACAACACTCATTTTTAAGAGTTACAATTATTTAGTAGAATAAAGAAAATAAATTTTTTAAACTGAATTTAAAGGTTTTTACTTAAAATAAAAAGTACTTCATTTCTGAAAAATACAAATTTAAAATTTGAGAATATATTTGTTAATGTTAAGTATCAATTCATGATACCGATTAAATAATAACAAGGATTGAGTACATATTATTATTTATAACTCTAATATAATATAAATAGGTATATTAATAAAATTTTATATTGTATTGATGTTTTCTAAATTAAAAAATGGTGTTTAAAAAAAATGAATAACTAAAGAGAAAAATTAATATTAATCACTGTTTAAGAAATTAACATATATTACAAAAAATAACGTGATTTGTAATACAACAAAAAAAAAACTATCCTAAACATCACAAATAAAAATAAAATAATCCAATTGTAAAGTAAAACTGTGTAATAACTAATAATAATATTTGAGAATGCTTTTTGGAAATTAGAATATTTTTTTAATTAGAAACTGGAAATTGAAGAGTTTTTAGTTAGAAATAACAATGATATTTAAAAAAAAATTAAAGGTATTTTTAGATTAGAATAATTTTTATGAGTTCGTATGTTACACATTTGAGAAAAATAAACACTAAGAATATTATTTAGAATCATAAATTCATAATATACGCTGAATTTTATATGTGAAAAGAGAATTTTGTATTTTTCAATTGGTCAAGATAGAGTGTAAAATTTGACGTCTGAATCCGATGTTTATAAATAGGAATGAGTATATGAGATTTGTTGTCTATAAAGCAATTTTAAATGCACCAAAACATGGTTAAAAAACCTTATGAATAAAATCTCCCCGAATTAAACCTTATGAATAGAAACTTTATAAGTTGTTCACTTTAATAAAAAGATCATGCAACTTATAAAAAAGAATTAAGTATTGAAAGATATGAAGGAGAAAATAGATATGATGTGTCTTAAGAACTAATTCATAGTCGAATATATTATATGTGAGCCAATATAAGGTGCATAGAAAGTATATTTTGAGAGACGACGAGTAAATCATATAAGATAACGAGAGAAATTATAGTAAAAAATGTGAGAAATGTTTTACTATTTTGGAAAGATAATGAACATGAGTAAACTAAAATCTTTTAAAATTCAAATGATTATATTTATGCTCAAAAATTCGCATTGATAAAAGTTTTAAATCAAAATCCTACATAATCTAGTTTATAAAATTTGGCGAACAGTTACAAAAATTATTAAAAAACGATTTAAATAGTTACCTGCCAATCTTAAATAATCTTTTGAAGTTCATTTGTCCTTTTGAGTTCCTAAAAAACAAGAATATGAAAAAACAGAAAAAAATAAAATAAAAACAAGATCATTACAACATTTAAACTGTAAACCTTTTCCATAACATCATAAGAAATGTAAAAACAAAAAAAAAAACAAATCCTTACATTTAAAATTTTTTAATTTTTAAATAATAGTTAAATTTGCCATTTATCTCTATCATGATTGGAAATATCTAAAACTTTTTTTTTTTTTGAAAAGATAATAATATAAGTTGAATTTTCGATAATTTGATATCTCAAAAAGGAAATATCATTACTTTGTGTTCAAGGCAACAATTTTTGGTATACATATACAACAAATTAAATTTGATATACATATGATAAAATCTAAGATAAATGGTAGTATTTGCAAGAAAAGGTACAAAATATAAGAATTAAAATAAATCCTAGAGAAATTTTATGAAATATTACTGCTACCTTTCAATGTTTTAATTAAATTTATATTGTCATTAAAGTTTAATGTATGAAAATAATATAATCAGTCTAAATTTGACTAGGGGATTAGAGATGAGAGTTTCACCAGATATAGTTAGACATTTCTTTATTTCTTGTTTTTTGTTTTCTTTTCTGTCACATGAAGTTGATTAATATTATCAAGGTAGAACGTTTGGTAGCATACAAACTTCAGTAGGAGGAAAACAAAGATCTTCTCCGAGCCTAAATCCTTCAACAAAAAAACTTAATATTACGAGGCAACATGACTAAAGCGATAGTAGAAGAAACGTCAAGCTGAAATAGGTGAAAAATGATTAAACCTGACAAACTAGCCAATCACACTAAAAGCAAACCATCCTATATCCTGAAAATCCATTGAAAGAGACATGTCGAAGATACCCACGGCTCGAACCCGCAGCTTCCGCCTTGACAGGGCGGTGCTCTGACCGATTGAACCATTAATACTCTATTCCTCTTATAGAGATGAACCACTTCCTAAGAAAATCATAAATCTTAATTAGACTTCATATTCCGCCAAGACATAACCACTAAAAATTTCTTATACTCTCTTTCGAATATGACGATGTCGAAGATAAGGCGACAAAATACGTCGAGATAGAAGGTACATAATGGATTAGATATTGATCAGATTTGAATTGGAGAGACAAGGAGCAAACGATCAACCTTGGTAACACCAAACTCGAGTTACCAAGAACAGTGAGAGATAGAACCGGAGAGAATCTATTAAATTTCGAAAGAACCATAGAATAACAAAAATCCTAGCAAACATCATAATCAAGCAAATGTTAGCCGCCACCCAAATCAGTTGAGACAATTTGATGTAAATATACAAACAATCAAAAATAAATTTGGATATTCTGTTGCTTCTATATATAAACGAAATAAATATTGATCTTTTGTTCCTGGTTTTATGTGCTCTATTTTTTGAACAATCGTTATATTTAAAACAAATATTTTGGATGTGGTTAGAGTTAGACGATATTTGTCATGTTATGAACAATTTTTGGGTTCACTCCTAGGGGTGAACTTCTTTCATTCACCCTCTCTTAATTAACTAATTAAAATTTGCCAAATCATCTAATTAAATAAATTAAAACTATTATTATTATCTAAATAAATAAATTAATTAATTCATTAAAATCCGCTAAATTGAATTAATTGTTAAATGTAAACTCTAACCATTCTTTTATAAACCCAAACCGACATATAATTTCATTTAATTGTAAAATCTAAACCCTAACCACTCTTTTATAAATCCAAACTGACATATAATTTTATTTAATTATAAAATTTAAACCTTAACCACTTTTATATAAACCCAAACTGACATATCATTTTGCTTAATTGTAAAATCTAAACCCTAAACCTCATTTATAAACCCAAATTGACATATAATTTCGTTTAATTGTAAAATCTAAACCCTAATCGCCTTTTTATAAACCCAAATCGACATATAATTTGGTTTAATTGAAAATTTAAACCCTAATCACTTTTTTATAGACCCAAACCGACATATAATTTTGTTTAATTGTAAAATTTAAACCCTAATTCATATTTATAAACCCAAATTGACATATAATTAACCTTGTTTATTTAAAAGCATACAGTGATTTTGTTTCCTTAGTATTTTTGTTTTGTGATTTTAATTTTGATTTATTTTTAAATATAGTATTACATGATATATTATTGTATTTTGATTGGTTTAATTAAGTGGAGTGAATAAGAAATAATAAATATGCTATTTACTTTAGTTATGTTTATTTTTACGATTTAGATAGTTCCTGTTCAAATATAACATATTATAAATCAAAACGATTGCTTCTAAATCTCTAATAAATATGTTAGGTCTTTTTGCATTCAAAATTAAAAATATAACAAATACAAATTCGGATATGGATTAAATGTTTGTTTATGTTTTGGTCATATATATAGTGTTACGATTTTTAGTGTGTAAAATAGTAAGTTTGTAGTCTTCACGATTTTCTTTGAATATATTAAATAGTAAGTTTTTAGTTTTTTCAATATTACAATCATGTGTAATTTTTTTCTTTCCCGCGGCTATCACCTAGTTTTCATTAAAAAAATAATACAGAACACTAATGCAAGAAATTAATTACTGTATTTATTTCCCGATTTAAAAAGTATATATTTGCCGTGATCACTAATGCGACGTCGTTTTTACCACTTCGTCGCCTCTTCCTTTGTTCACCGTGACTCGTCCAGTGACTCGGTTGGTGCTTTGTATCGATTGACTCGTTCACCTGCCTGTGGTCTCGAGCGCCTCCATCCCATCGACTCACCACCACAGCCGCTCTAACCAATCCACCAACTCTCTACACTGGCGGATCCGATGGGTCAATCATTTGGTGGAGCATCTCGTCGTCGTCCGAGTTCAATTCGGTAACTCGTTTTGCTCATACTTGCTCAATCGTTTAGCTAACTCCAACTATTTCCAGATTCTTCATTCTCAATTTCTTCTTAAAGTTTAGGTTTTTGGTGAAAACTTTGATTTACGATCAAAGTTATAGATCTCTTAGGACATTGGTGTGCTTAAGATGTAGTATAGTGAGGATAATTTCAAATTCATCAAGCTCAAATTTCTCTTAAACCTAACTTGAAATTAATGAAAATGTCATTGTTAGTAATCTTTTGTTAGCTTTTGATTCATCAGGAGGTTAAACCGATTGCTATGTTATGTGGCATACTGCTCCTATAGTGGATCTTGATGTTTGTGATCCTACAATGGTTTCAGGGAATGGACTTACATCAGATTGTTCGGATACTGGTAATGCGGATCCATTTGTTAACTGTTGTGCATTGGTCAGTGCTTGTACTGATGCTGTACTGTGTGTATAGAGTAGCAGTAGTGGGCATTGTAGAAAGTCCGACGATACGTTTGGTTTGGGTGTTCTCATATCGATACCTAATCTGTTGACAGAAAACTGTTAAGGTTCACTGTGGTTCTCTTAGTAATGGAAAAGAACTTAAGCAAATTTCTTGGAGAAGGTTCCTATTTTGCTGATTGGATTTCAAGCTCTTGTTTAGATCCCAAGGGCTTTGGTTGGTGCAGAAACTGGTATTTCTCATTCAGGAATGCAGTACAGATTATGATCTACAAGACTACAAAGCTTTCTTAGTGACAGTAGACAGTGTGTGTCATCCGTCCATGGCTATTTCTGAGAAAATGATTCTCCTGCTTCAAGCCCGAGATCAGACAGTTCGAACAGAACGACAATGGAACACTTGCTCTCTATCTGTTGCAGGATGATTCATGTGTTGTTGCTCTTTCTTCTCTTGAGACTTTGCGGGTCGAAATCATGTTTCCTGGGCACCCAAACTATCCTACAAAAGTGGTTTGAGATGGTACAAGAGGCCACATTGCATGTCTTTCCGGCTCCCTTTTGAGAATATCAGATCCAATTGATGTCTTGTACATTTGGGATATGAAGAGAGGTTCTCGAGAACGTGTCCTCCATGGGGCAGCTTCACATTCGATGTTTGATCATTTCTGTGCAGGCATTAGTGAAAAATCGTACTCAGGCACTCTGTTCAATTGGAAATACATCATTTTCCTCTTTGCTTTCCAGTAGGTGAAACCATTTTATTTGAAGAACTACGAGCGGGCAGCTTTGTCAACGTTTAAGCCAAGTGCTTAGCAGGAAAAGACTAGAGAAGATTGTACCCAGCCAACGCCAGTTCTCTACTAAGTTCTCTGATACTGCAAAATACAACTTCTCTATTAGTTCAGTAATTGTAAACATCCTACAGAAATTTGTACACAGCCAACATCAGTTCGTCAAATTTCCCTTGTGGCTTACCAAATAAAAATAGTTTTTTTTTTTTTTTAACTATATTCTTTATACAAAAATATTACATACAGATTGTTGTAATTAATCCCAATATATATTGTTAAACAACTAATTGATTAATTTTTATCAACTAATTAATTTTTTCATAAAAAATTTAAAAGAAATAAAATTGTACCCTTAATAGTTCAAACTAGTTAAAATTCATTGGCATTTTTGGAATTAAAATGTTACAACTCAAAGCCTTTTTTGAAAAACAGCATAATTCTCTCAAATCATAATTTTTGGTCTATGATATTTTTCTACAATCTGGCGAAAAAAAACTACAATCTGAAAACACTGACTTATTTACAAAGGAATTAAAAGAATATGAGCTCAATATTGGCCCAAACTAATCATGAAATTTTATGGTTCGGCCCGGAAGAAAAACTATGCACAAGCATTGAGCCCAAAGAATGAGGTTCATATGGCGGGGACAGCGTTGGCTGGTATTTCTGCGGCGACGACGGCGTTGTCAATTAATGGTTCGACTTGTTCAATCTCGTCTGTGAATTCGAATAGTTCATTCATATCACCGTTGGGATCAGATTCATCATCCCCTTCGTAATCTGCATCGATAGTTATCGCCCCTTCTTCTTCATCCGCATCCAAAAATTCATCATCCGCATCAAAGAATTCTTCTTCAATCTCAAAAAACTCTTCTTGAACTGGGAGAGGAAATAGTTCCGGCAAGAGATGTTTGTATATGATGAGTATGGGAAACGAAAATTGGATGACCAAGACTGGAATTTTCAATGAAGACAGAGCTTGGCCGTGAATTGAACCCATCGGAGAATCCTATGTCGTTGTCGACTCCGAATTCAATATCCAGTGCAAGAATGTAGAGATAGAAGAGTATTGCTGCTGCGATCAAGGAGGACCAGTCTTGGGGAAAATTCAGATAGTAACCCGAAGATCATACTTGCAAAGAGACAAATCCATGCTTGAATTCTTGCACTCTCGTTCGTGCAATGGTAGCCAGCATGGTCATTCAATTCGTAGGAAGCAAAGAAAATAAAGATTTCTATAAGATTCTTGGAAAGAAGAAGAAGAAGAAGAAGAAGAAGAAGAAGACTCTGTTTTTTTGCTCTTCTTCTGCAACTGAATCGGTTAAAAGTGTTTAGTGACCCTTTTATATTCAACAAAGTGATCGAGAAAGTGTTTCTATCTTATGAGTGTGACGTGGGAATGTGGATTTGTTTATTTGTTGAAATATTTACTCAGATGTTAACCAAAAGTTCGAATATTACTAGAATATCATACATTTTCTAAAAATTACTCATATGTTTTGAGCATTTGTGTAATTACAATTAACACCTTTCATTAGTTTTTTTTTAATTAATAATTTTTAATTCGTTTTTAATTAAAAATAATAAATAAAAATTTGATTATCCATGTCATTAATCCACATCACCAATCTCACACTCCTCAAACTCACGTTATTTCTCCTCTTCTCTTTTTTGTCTCCAAATGCAAGAAAAGCTTTTAGATCATTTCTCCTCTTCTCTTTTTTTTTGTCTCCAAATCCAAGAAAAACTTTTAGATCTAATAATCTGCAACTAACTTGGGTACAACATTGACAGAGATCTTCAAATTGCAGGATTGGGCTGGATCTTCCTAGACCTCACAGCCACAACGCTTGCCATAGGGTCCCAAATCAAAAGCTTCGTCAGATCTACTCGCAACCACGCTCACGAAAAAAGTCATCAAAAATCAAAACCCAAAACAAAGAGATCTATGGAATTCTACATGATTCGTTACAGGTTTGAGTTGAAATCAAGAATAGCTACTCTTTTACTTTGATTTTACATGTCTCTCGTTTAATCTTCCTCTCAATCGATCTATTTGGAGACATTTCTACTTCTATCTATGTTTTGATTCATACGGTTTAGTCTTCCTCCTATGTATCCCTCAAACATATTTTTACGAATCTTAATTTGATTGTTGTTATTTGACCAATAAATTTCATATTGTCTTCTCCAAAAAAATGTTGCTTTCCGATCTGTATTATAAATCAGCCGTAAAGTGATGTAACTCAGCCGTAACGTGATGTAACTCAGCCGTAACATATAATTTACACAACCTTTCGTCTTCCCTGAATGATAACTCAGCCGTGACATGTAATTTACCGAACCTTTCGTCTTCCCTGAAGCATGTAACTCACCCGTAACATATAATTTACACCCATCTATCGTCTTCCCTGGAGAATATAACTCAGCCGTGACATGTAATTTTACTGAACCTTTCGTCTTCCCTTAAACATATAACTCAGCCGTAATGTAATTTTACCGAACCTTTCGTCTTCCCTGGAACATATAACTCAGCTGTGACATGTAAATTGACCGAACTTTTCGTCTTTCCTTAAGCATATCACTCAGCCGTAATGTAATTTTACCGAACCTTTCGTCTTCCCTGGAACATATAACTCAGCCGTGACATGTAAATTGACCGAACCTTTCGTCTTCCCTTAAGCATATAACTCAGCCGTGACATGTAAATTTGCAGCGAAACAATAAGAGACGCAACATTTCCTCTAACTTTATCATCGAGCACCAACTTCACAAGTTTTTCGTGCATTGTTTTCGCATCTATCTGCACAACTCTACACACTCTTTCATCGGTGTTAAATACGTATTTGTGTTTTTATACCCAGTTACCGGAACCGGATCAACCATATCGGGAGAAGGATGAAAGAAACTAAAGAAGAATGAGGAAGACGATGAGGAATTGGAAGTTCCGGTGATGTGATAAACTCAGGTGAAGAAGACGAGTTGAAAAAATTTGGCCCTATTTTTTTGTCCTTTGATGATGATGACATGGAATGATGACATGGAATGTTGCATCCACGTCATTTTTTAATTGATGAAGTGGCAAGTAAGCCACCAAACGAAAATGTAAATCAACTTAATTAAACCAGCCATCAAACAAAACTTTAACTCAGCCGCAACATGAATACTATTACAGTAATTAAAAAACGAAAAAACGGCAGCCAAATTCAGCCGTTTACTGTCGTAACTCAACCAATAATATTTCACTCAGTCGTGTCGTTTAATAAGTCGGCCGTCATTGCATGCTATTCTAGTAATTAATCTTTCGCTACTAAGTCAGCCATAATAAGGCCGAGTTTTCCGTTAATCCAGCTCATTACGGCTGATTTATAATACTCGAACATAAATCAGCCGTAACGTCATCCCATAACTAAGCCGTCTTTGATAACTCAGCCAGCCGGAGAAAGTTAAGTCAGCCGTGTCGAAGCAATAACTCAGCCAAAAATTTGACAAATCAACCATCGGGTGAAAACTCAGCCGTAACTTAGGCTGGGTTATGCTCGAAAGTCAGCCATTTTATCATAACTCAGACAGATTTTTTAATTGATGAAGTGGGAAGTAAGCCACCAAACGAAAATGTAAATCAACTTAATTAAACCAGCCATCAAACAAAACTTTAACTCAGCCGCAACATGAATACTATTACAGTAGTTAAAAAACGAAAAAATGGCAGCCAAATTCAGCCGTTTACTGTCGTAACTCAACCAATAATATTTCACTCAGTCGTGTCGTTTAATAAGTCGGCCGTCATTGCATGCTATTCTAGTAATTAATCTTTCGCTACTAAGTCAGCCATAATAAGGCCGAGTTTTCCGTTAATCCAGCTCATTACGGCTGATTTATAATACTCGAACATAAATCAGCCGTAACGTCATCCCATAACTAAGCCGTCTTTGATAACTCAGCCAGCCGGAGAAAGTTAAGTCAGCCGTGTCGAAGCAATAACTCAGCCAAAAATTTGACAAATCAACCATCGGGTGAAAACTCAGCCGTAACTTAGGCTGGGTTATGCTCGAAAGTCAGCCATTTTATAATAACTCAGACAGATTTCAGTAAGTCAGCCGTAACTCCAGGCTGGGTTATACTCGTAAGTCAGCCGTTTGCTCATAACTCAGCCATTTTTCTTAAATCAGCCGTAACATACCGTAACTCAGCCGTCATTGCCGCTATATCGCTCGACGGCTGAGTTCATTAATACACGTCAGCGATTTCTAACGTGGCGACGCGGCTTTGCTGACGTGGCAGTGGCATTCTTTGTAATTACGTTTTTTCCTGTAACGTTTAACAGGGGCACGCTGGGTATAAAAAATATACCCGAAATATGATAGTAATAAAAAAAAGATCTGTATGTTTTTGGTAATTTCATATAAAATGTATAACATCTGAGTAAATCTCCCTTATTTGTTTCTTCTATCTTTTAAGCAGCAACATGAAACTAATATTTATTAATTTATAGAAAATTTTCCATATTAGAAGAATATGAGTTGAGACAATTCAATAAATATAAAATTAATGAATTGGATGTAATAATTTTCGTAGTATTAGAATTGAAAATACAATATTTCAAAAAACTCATTTGATAATAAACTACAAAGACTATAATTGAATTCATTTACACAAACGATAAAGTTTATAATTAATAACCTCAATTATTGTATTTTAACAGTGTACTAGACTGTTGAAATGAAAATGATGCATACTAAGAAGTTGGAAACTTATGGTTAATTATATTAAAAAATTATATACGATACTATAATATGATACTTTAAAAACACAATATAATTCAACTAAAGTAAGAGACAACAAAAATTCTTTGATACAATAAAAGTTCGTGACAAAATCTAACAAAAAATTCAATAAAAAAAATTAAACCGATATATTTTATCTTATATATATATATATATATATATATAATATATAATATTATATATATATATATATAAATCTGTGATTATTACTTTTTGATATAATTAGGACCATATTTTTATATAGATATTTTTAAAAATATTACTATTTTTTGTTAATTTTTATACTAACCCGACTTGGGACCGGAATAATTTATTATTTTATTATGTTTATTAATTTATCGAATACTAATTTATAAAGGTTTTTCTGTAAATCAATATCAATAAATCAATACAATAAAACTAATTTAGATGTCGTATAGCCACG